TAATAGTTCTTAAATAGTACGTACTATATGATATGTACATAATCTACACATTACTTATTTGTTACATGTGTTAAATATGAAAAAACCCGAATATTTTCCCATTCGGGAATTTTCCCCGGGTTTTTTCCCGGTTTTTTCCCATATTCGGGTTTTTTCCGGGTAAAATCCCATCTCTACAGTAGGCACGTCAATCTACTCTTTTTCGTGAAACTTTATCGTTTAGACATAAAGTCGAAAATCCAATGACAAAAATTTACATAGTGGAGTAGGTAGGATACTGTATCTAACTTTTCAAGTTATCCCCAGTTATGTTATAATTTGTATATACATAATACGATCTTTTCCGAATCGGAGTTGAACGCAGAGGCTAGTCATTCGGTTGTCACTATGCTAGTATTTTAGTCAAGGGGAAATTTTTTACTGCACCTATATTTAGAAATTTAAGCAAAACAAATTTCTCCACTAATAACCTACTGAATATAAAAAAATTACTGTTCTACAAAAAACATATTACATCGTAAAACAAAAATATTGATTTGCACACAAATTGTCCAATATTACAACGGAATTTTCAAAATAGGGTAGGTTAGGTTACGAATTATTAGATATTAGATATAATTGATTTATTTGATGATTAAATTTAGTGTGCAATTCAGTATTTTTGGTGGTAATTTCGAATATTTTGATTGAAAAAAGGGAATTTACAGTTAAAGTATTAAATACCACCCTTAGTCAAGTAGTGAGTATTAAGTAACTCTGTTTCGCTTCGATTTTGGGAAAGAAGCGAGAGAGATATACTAAACACTCGCTGCTCGGCTAAAATACTAGCATAGTGCGAACAAGGCATTATGAGCAGCTTGCGCGGTCTTGGCGAGACGCGACGTCGAAAGATCGCGCAGTCTTCTCAGTATATTCTCAGGGGGAAAAACATCGCATGACTTCTACCGCCTAGGTGAGGCGGGAGGGAGTGTCAGACTCTTACTGACTAAAAACCACCCCGTTCCTTCTTCTGCACGTCGAGCCGGAGCCCCGGTTACCCGTTAGGTTCTCAGCGATTAATTCAGGGTCTCACGATACTTATTATAAACAATTACGATACTTAACTACACAATAGCACTAAAAAGAGTACTAAAATGCATCTTACCGTATCCAGAGACTTGTCAGGGCTGGCCTGGTTCATTAGACAGATGACCAATTCCATCTTCTCCGTGTCCTGGAGACTGCGGTCCTTCAGGATACAGGCCTGGATCTGTAAAGGAGATAGAGTATATTTTATATTGTGGCAACTGGCATTTACATGGAATAATGATAGTTCGGGGTTAATATAACAGATGGCGCTCCACATCTGGTCAAAGATAAAGGAAGTTACGTTGTGCAAATATAATACCAAGTGAATAAAAAATATATTTTAGGGAAATTTCCAACAAACTGCCTTATTATCTCATCTAGCCTGGTCGTCCTATTCACGGAATTAGAAAACATGAAACTCATGGCCGTTTTTTTTTATCTTTTAATCGAGAGTTATTCTGTATTTCAGTCTAATAAGCTTTTAACTGTTCCGTCCATTTATATTTATGAAATTGCTAAATTCATAAGAGCCAATCCTTCGTTTTTTCCTCCTTGGCTCCTCTAATTTATAATACGTTGCCTAAATCTATAACTAAACTTCCGTATAAGAAATTTTGTAATGTATTAAAGCAATGGCTAATTGAAGAAAATTACTACTCAATCCATGAATTTTTAGAAAAAAACAAATGTAAATCTTTTAGTTTTAAAGAAAGAAATAAATAAGAGCAGTAAGTGTAGTTTATGTACCAAAATTGTAGCTTTCATATATTTTATTTTAATCAACAGTAAAGATTAAATGTAACCAAATAAATGTATAGACTAGCGACCCGCCCCGGCTTCGCACTGGTGCAATATGCATGTATATGCATATAAACCATCCTTAAGAATAACTCTACCTATTAAAAAAAAACCGCATCAAAATCAGTTGCGTAATTTTAAAGATCAAAGCATACATAGGGACAGACAGACGGCGGATAGCGACTATGTAGTGATAGTGATTTAGTATGTTTAAAAATCTCCTATTTTGTTTTATTTCCCCGCATCATGATCATTTCATATTTTACTATGCGATAGTAGTTTTAAAATACCCAGTTGTAGTTGTATCGACATGTATGACCATGTACGATGCTTATCCAGTTACTAGTTGGTACCTTTATTACACAAGAGCTATATAAGGTCTCGCGTGCGTTGATTCATTGCTGGGATCAGATAAAATCATTAGCTGTATGAAGCAACGACGCAGTGAGTGTCAGTCATTTGATACTTGGCTCTGTTTATGATTTAAACCACATCGCTTGTTGAATATTGTAATATAATCGGTATGTTTACTGTGTGCTCACTGCAGAATCATTAATATTACAATTTAAATACGACAGTTTATATGTTTATATATTTTTTTAAGGCATGACCTGGGCAACGAGCGGACGGATCACCTGATGGTAAGCAATCGGCGTCGCCCATGGACACCTGGAACACCAGAGGCGTTACAAGTACGTTACCGGCCTTTGGGGATAACAAATTTGAGAATTCTTGGCGATTTAGGGATTGGGGAAGGGGGAGGAGGTAATTGGGCCTCTCGTAACCTCACTCACATGATAAAACACAACGCAAGCGTTGTTTCACGTCGATTTTCTGCCATATGTTTCTTTATTTGATCTGTATGAAATTTGGAACAGGTCTTGAATAACACATAGGCTACTTTCTTCCCCCCGGGAACACAGGCTAAACCGCTGGTTGAAGCTAGTACAATGAACTATCAGAACTCTTACATTTCTCTTAAATAAATGTCGTGGTGGCCCGGAGATTTAAGACGCCCGCTTCTCATGAATGAGGGTGCGGGCTCGAAACCTACCAACGGCAAGTACCAATGTGACTTTTCCGAGTTATATGTACTTTCTAAGATTGTTTAGACACCACTGACAAACGGTGAAGGAAAACGTAGTGAGGAAACCTGGGCTTATAATATCTATTTATAAGTTTGTAATCGCTAACCCGAATTGGTCAAGCGTGGTGATTAATGCTCAAACCTTCTCCGTGTGAGAAGAGGCTTCGCTCAGCAGCATAAGGCTGTTGATGATGAATAATTTTGTATCATTTTCATTTGCATGGCATTCTATAATACAAAGTTTTGACTAGAAAATTATGGTAAGCGTCTATGGATCATGGAAGCCCGCAACACCAGAGACGTCCCCCAAGGAGAGGAGTTTTATTTTAAGATGGGAAGTTATCAAATTCAAGTGTCTTCTACCGCCCAAGTGAGGCTTTTTTTTGGCTAGAGAGAGTGTCAGCCTCTTACTGACTAAAAACCACCCCGTTCCTACTCCTGCACTTCGACCCGGAGCCCCGGTAACCCGTCAAGTTCTCTGCGACTCCATGTCGACATCAGTCCTACTGGGCCCCATCTGTGGTGGTATCATAGCTCTTTGAGACGCGTGCGGAATGCGACGCGCCGCACGTTCGGGTCTGGTTCTGGTCGGTCTGTAAATTACCCATGCTCGCCGACCGCAGGCCCATGCTTACGGAGGTCGGAGATCGTCTCGCGATCCCCGACGCCCGGAGTGTCCTTCGCGACGGCTGGGTTGTGAGGAAGCAGCGCTTCGCTGCCTCATGTGGCCCCGCTTCCTCCTTAGCTAGCATGAGTGCTTTGCAAAGAAAGAGTACGCTTTTGTTTTGAAGGTTTGAAGATCGTATTTGGTTCAGAACTAGTCATCACTTACAACATTTCATTCCACAGTTTATTAGTACCAATATGTTATTGTAATCTATCAGTGAAAGTCTATTTAAATTACTTTTAAAATATGTTAATTAATGTATCTAATAGATAGGTAACTCTAAATAATTTACTTTGAACTGGAACCTACCAGTTGTAGCTATTTCGATTTTTTTCGTGTACTGACGCGAATTGTGAACCTTTCCCGTGGGTGTCGTATACCCGACTAAGGTACTATACATTAGACAGAGACCGTGCAGCAGCGCTCTCTGATAAACCTGAACCTTTTATACTGCGACCTCCAACCCGCCTGCCTGCGGAGATTATGACAAACCCTCTTATGTAGAGGAGACTCATAGACCACCAGTGGACTGTTACAAGCTATTGATGGTGGTGTATTACGTACCTTATTACCGTAGCATTCATCAGGTCCATGGTGACATTGGAACTGCCATTTTCCGTCCACTTTGTCGTGCTGCAAATAAAAATCAGAAACATTTGAATGAAATGGTCAGAATAGGCTTGTTGCCTAAATTTTATTTTAATATAAACATTAGACAAATATTATTTGTTTTCTTACAAAATTAAATGCTTTTGACGATATATTGATTTGAAACGTCGTGTGACGTCACAGCGTGCAACAAAATATAGCACGTTGTGACGTATCTACCTCCCACTCCTAAACTTCTAAGTATTGTAACTAAAAACGAGAAAACAAAAAAATACGTGTCTAATACTTTTTCATTTTCTAACTGACGGACTAATTATATTTTTAAATTTTCTTACCCTGGAACCCACCCAATTATGCCATTTACAATCGATACCCTGAAGTAAGCAGACCATATTGAATGTAAAATTTATAAAACAGAAGTAAGAAGGAAAAATCTTTTGTTTTACACTTTAATACAAGTGATATGTATAGATTAAAAACGTGTTATTATGAGTACTTATGTCACAAGTTGTACTGTACATGTTCATGTCTCAAGTCTGCGGTGAAATGGGACCAGGGTGCTAACTCTTGGATCCAATTCCGATCAATCGACATTGACATTGTAAAATTTCGTACTCTTGAGTTGCTACACTAGCGCCCATTGCATCCGTATTGCGTGGATATTGAATGAACTAAATGGAATTGAGTTCGGCTTTATATTCCGTTCTCTGAATGCTATTTTAACAGCTACGATAGGGGTTGTATAGTGTTGACATTGAATAGTTATTGAGATTTTATTGGGTTGAAATTGCATTGACATTGAGATTGGTTTTAAGAGTAAGCACCCAGTTCAAAATGTGCAAGACAGGGCATCGTTCTGGTATTATTGATAGAAGAAAAAACGAATGAATTATTTAATGTTTAATTTATTACCTAGACATAGAGTTATTAAGAATTTATGACACGATTTCTTTGTAAAATTGTATATTTAAATAATAATTATGTTTTGACGTATTACAGTAGGTAAATAGCAAGGTCGTTGCATTATATAATTTAATCATTATATATTTTTTTATGTTACATTTTAATTTTTTACGGACTCTTGGTCCGTGCCCTTGTCATATTTTTTTTTATTACAATACGTCTAATCAATATTTATGAAGTAAAGAGGGAACCTAGTTACACACTACAATTAACCACATCTATAATTATTACTAAAAGTATAAATTACATATATTAATTAGCTATTATCCATTTACATCTATTTCGACGGCTCTACGAAATCAGCCCACCAACAAGATAGAAGAGCCGACCTGACCCAGCAGAAGGCACCCGTTCACGAATCTGACATTGTCAGCAGTAAGATAGATGCCTAATTTTTATTTTAATGTCCGTCTGGTAGATTATTTAAAAACATTAGACACGTATTTTTAATTTTTTTACAGAAACGAATAGTGTCGACGATATATTGATTTGAAATGTCGCGTGACGTCACTTCTATGTACATTTTATACGTAGAAATGACTTTTTAGCCTCCACTCCTAAACGTTGATTCGTTATATCTAAGTATCATTTTATTATACAACAAAATAAAAAAATACGTGTCTAATATTTATTCATTACCTAATTGACGGACTAATTAGATTTGTACCTATTGGGCCGAAGTGGCTAATTAAGTCCAAATCAATATTAGTTCCAGCTGTCGCTACGCCTAACTCTTTTTTGACAAGCTGTAAATGGCTAGTACGCACCGTGCTCTTGCCGTATGGCACCATCTTCACTTTCACAACTCCTCGGAAGTCCCTCCAGACTGGTGCCAGCTGCCTGGTGATGAACCTCTTGCTGTCAGGGCAGAGGGACTCATAGTACACTGCGATCTTCACCTGATGAACAAAGCATTTTGTTTTAGACAACTTTGATAATAATACTTATGAAATACTTCGGGATGGGGTACTAGTACAGAATACTACTACTAGTTTAAATAATTGAGTACTTTCCTTTATCAAAAATAAATTATTTTGACTGTTCAATACAATAAAATATTGAAAAAAATCACACTTTCATTAATTGGTTTTATGAACAACTTAATTTTAGTATTTTTCCAGCAAATTTTAAAGAAATAAGTGTGCTGTTTGACGCTAAAAAAACATGACGTCACATGACGTACAAAATTCATAGAAAACTGTCGTTTTGAAAGTTTTTTTTAAAAACGTTGCCCCACACTACGATTTTCTCCTGTGTCGTGGGTGCGTTTACAAACATACAAGTTCACATACACATGACACCCAGACCCGAAACAACAATCTGTGGATCACACAAAGTGTTGTCCCGTGCGGGAATCGAACCGCGACACGTTGCACGGCAGCCGGTTGTCCAGCCACCGCACCAACCGTGCAGTCAAAAAGTTGGAAAAAAGTATTGAATTTGATTAGTTGGCAAGTACTAAAACACAACAATTTACAATCTTTAATATCTGTGGTCAGTGTCTGACATTACGAATTATCGTGACAAAGCGCCCTCTAGGTTTTGTTCCCGCTATCATTATTCATTAATTTGATTATTATATAATGATCCTTTTTTTGTAGAAACATAATAGTAAACATAGTTGATCGAAGAGCTGAATTAAATTTCGCTTAATCTGCATTTCCTTTTTCTTGATAACTTTTTATACCTACCCTCGGGAGCTAAAAACCGAAGCCACTAGTATAATTATGGTCGTTTTAATGAACAACTTAAAAAAAACTCATTTTAAAGGTAACTCCATAAATTACCTTTTATACGTTTGTAACATAACATCACGCCTTTTTATCCCCGAAGGGGTAGGCACAGGTGCACATTACGGCACTTAATGCCGCTGTACAATATAACACCCACTTTTCACTATTTATGTTATGAGTCCCTTGTAATAGGGGGTGAGTCTATTGCCATATACCGGGCACATTTCCAAACTCCGTGCTACTTTAAGAAAACTCCAGTTATACTTTGCCCGACCAGGGAATCGAACCCGAGACCTCTTGCCCGGCAGTCGCACTTGCGACCACTCGGCCAACGAGGCAGTCATGTAAGTTAGTAATACCTTATGGTCATCTCCCTTCTTGTTCTTGGCGACAGCTCCGTAGACCAGCGCCATCAGACATAACACTGCTAGAGTCCTCATTTTATTCTGTAACAAATCAAACAACATTATATTAAAAAAAGAAATGTCTGGAATTGTGCCCGATGTATGGCAATAGACTCACCCCCTATTACATGGGACTCATAACATACCGTAAAATGGGGTGAATAGGGATTGTGTGGTGAATGGAGACAGAAGAGGGGTGAATCGATACTATGAAGAATTTCCTTATATCTATTCACCCCTCTTCTGTCCCTTTTCGCCGCTGAAACCCTATTCACCCCATTTTACTGTACTTAAATAGTGAAAAGTGGGTGTTACTTCTGTGTGCACCTCTGCCTACCCCTTTAGGGATAAAAGGCACGATGTTATGTGAAACTTTTTGTTGACGTTTAAAAGTCTCTTTCTGGTCTAATTGAAATAAATAATTTTGACTTTGACTTGGACAGAGAGCGTTGCTGTCGTATCTCTGCTAAGTTCCTTAGTCGGGTATATGACACCCAGGTGAAGAGTAGGGGTGGTGACTCGAGTGTTATACTCTGCCGTTACTACACGGTGTTATGAACTATTATAGCCTCGTGGCTTTGATTACATAGTTCGTTAACACTCACATACACACTACATTGTACATGTTTGTATTTGTGAAACTGCATTGTTCTACTTTCTTATGCTTTGTTCGGAAAACTTATGTGAACGTTACGTTGCCTTTTTGTGTTTTTTTCGACCGCACTCTCATATATGAGAAGCTGGCGTCTTAAGCCTTCGGGCCACCATGACATATCTAATTACATAATGCCTTATGAACACATTACATCTGGGTTGATACCGCAGTATATAATGGTTCCCACGATTCATTGTTTCACTTAAAAAGTAGCTCAGGTAGCTCACGCAATCATTTCAGGCTGTTGTATTATTATACAGTATTTGATTCTCGTACAATATATTTATAAATGTACTTTTTTAAGGGGGAAAATCATCGAATGACTGCTCCCGTCTGGGTGAGGCGGGAGGGAGTGACTCTTACTGACTAAAAACCACCCCGTTCCGTAGGAACTCCTGCACGTCTAGCCGGAGCCCCGGTTACCCGTTAAGTCCTCCGCGGCTCCGTATTAGCATCAGTCCTATTGGGGCATCCGTGGTGGTCTGATAGCTGGAGTTTAATTCCTAGGTTTAAAGAAACAAATTGATTGATAGTGTAATCAATGCCGAATGTCGTGGTGGCCCGGAGGTTTAAGACGCGCTTCTCAAGCATAAGGATGCGGGTTCGAAACCTACCAACGGCAAGTACCAATGTGACTTTTTCCGAGTTATATGTACTTTCTAAGATTATTTAGACACCACTGACAAACGGTAAAGGAAAACATCGCGAGGAAACCTGGGCTTATAATTTCTAATTATAAGTTTGTAATCGCCAACCCGCATTGAGCAAGCGTGGTGATTAACGCTCTAACCTTCTCCGTGTGAGAAGAGGCTTTGCTCAGCAGTGGGCATTTATAGGCTGTTGATGATGATGTAATCAATCAATTTGTTTCTTTACATTGCAAACAAAAAAATCTATATGTAATGATGTTGCAACACCTGTTCAATCAATTTTCACCTCTATTACAAACTGTTAAATTTGAAAATCTATTAAAGGATCTTGATTTCTTGCCACCTGTACTTTGGTAGCTACTCATGTTACTATAAAACCCAGTTTATAATATATAACTATAAAACCAATATATCGTGGTCTAGCATTGTATTATTTTTCCGTACACTCGACGGTCAGTTTATACTGGTTACATAAAACTTGATATGTACGTACCATGTTATGTATGTGTTCATGTAATTTGATTATTCAAGTACTTAGCACATTGAAAATGTCAGGTATGTTGTGGTTAACCACAGACTTTAAGGAAAAAATTAAATTTTGCGACATAACTCATACCCATCGTCATCAACAGCCACTGCTTACCAAGGGCCCCTTCTCATACAGAGAAGGTTAATTTAGTCGAATCTAACTGATATCAAAAACTAATATAAGTATGACGTAAAAATATAACGTACATATATTTTAATTTATGAAGGTGTTGAGCAGCGTTGCCAGACATCCCGATTTTGGCGGGACAGACGTCCCGATTTATAAATCAAAATTATGTTCCGTGCGGGACAGGTTTAGGCTTTCGATATAAATGGACCGTACATGCCTTTTTTCTCTTTTTCCGAAAGTTAAGAAGACTCAACTAAAGATGCTCGTTTGCCTCCTATTCCATAAAAAACGTATTTCATATGTTACACGTCTTTTACTGTCCCGCTTTCAAAGATAAAATCCCGCTTTTTTCACTCAAAATATTTCAAAATCCCGACGTGGCAAAATAAGATTCTGACACTCCCTCCCGCCTCACCCAGGCGGGAGAAGTCATTCGATTATTTTCCCCCCTTAAAAAAAAACAAACAAAAGATAAAGTCCCGAACATTGATGTGCAAGCAAGAGGATACATCACAAACTGTTTGTCGAACCACTTTTGATTTGTTTTTTTTTTAATGAGACATGTCGGTAAACGAGCAGACGGATCAGCTGATGGTAAGCAATCGGCATCGCCCATAAACACTTGGAACACTAGATGCGTTACAAGTGCATTCCGTTAGGGATTTAGCGAATTAGAAGATTGAGATGGGGTAACTGGGCCTCCGGTAACCTCACTCATACTATGAAACCATGCTTGCGTTGCGTTGGAGTATTTTTATGGGACTAGCCCGCCACTACCTCCCAAAACCGCTGCAACTCCTGTAAGTCAGGATCTACAGTAAGCCAGCTACAGTACAGAGCGTTGGACTTATTGTTAATATCATTGGTAATTTAGAATTTTATAGAACTCATGACAATAACATGAAAAATAAGATACACGTTTACCGCATGTACACGGTAACAATAAACGCTTGTAGCGCCATCTAAGGACAGCGAAAACCGTTGTCAAAACAGGAATTATTCAGAAAGTGTCACAATGCAGTGTGCCTAGCGGTGTTTTGTATACAGACAGACATACTGTATACATGTATGTACATATATTAGTTACGGAGAAAGTCGCCAGGAGAGTAGTGAGTTAGTGTTGACAATAGATGTGGCTTGACGTGTGTGTGTGGTGTAGGTTATAAGCGAAAGTAACTGTGTTGGTTATCAATATACATTAGTATAAAACAAAGTCGCTTTCGCTGTATGTCCGTATGTATGCTTAGATCTTTAAAACTACGCAACGGATTTTGATGCGGTTTTTTTTAATAGATAGAGTGATTCTTAAGGAAGGTTTGTATGTATAATACATGCATATTGCACCCGTGCGAAGCCGGGGCGGGTCGCTAGTTAAAAATAAAATTAATTTTTAACTGACTGCCTCGTTGGCCGAGTGGTCGTATGTGCGACTGCCGGACAAGGGGTCTCGGGTTCGATTCCCGGGTCGGGCAAAGTATTACTGGGTTTTTAAATATTCAAAGTAGTAGCACGGAGTCTGGAATTGTGTCCGGTATATGGCAATAGGCTCACCCCCTATTACATGGGACTCATAACATAAATAGTGAAAAGTGAGGGTTACATTGTACAGTGGTATAATGTGCACCTCTGCCTACCTCTTCGGAGATAAAAGGCGTGATGTTATGTTATGTTAATTTAAGACCGTTTTTAAACGCTTTGGGGCCCATTACCAAGGGTTTATTTCCAATAGTTTTTTGTATTAAAAATAAACGTTACCCCGCAATAGGATTGTCTCCTGTGTCGTTGGTGCGTTTACAAACATATAAGTTCACATACACATCACACCCAGACCCAGAATAACAATCAGTGAATCACACAAAGAGTTGTTCCGTGCGGGAATCAAACCAGCGACACAATACGCGGCAGCCGGTTGCCCAGCCACCGCACCAACCGTGCAGTCTATTGTCTTTAAGCAGTCAAAATCTGAAACCGCTCCCGCTTAAGCCTTGCACCAGCGGGTCACATCTTGACCCAGTGGCGTTAGAAAGCACAGTTACTATCCTCAGTATTACTGAGGCCTTCACTTTACCGTTCATCAGTACACATTGGTCAGTCGCGACATACATACATACATCTTAATTATTATGTTCATGCCGACACCTTGTCGAAGTAATTTCAACTTTAACGCTTATGAAATAAAGTTCATATTGTAGTAATTGTAAGAGCATTAATTGTTTGGTGTAATTTGATGAACTGTTGTCTTTATTATGATTGCTTAAATACTTAGTACTTACTAACGCAAGTATTTTATTTTTTATTTTTATTTTATTTGGGAAAAGAAACAATATTACATTTAACCAAATTAATGTAATATCCACAACATTTTCCAAATATTACCTTTTGAGACATAAGCTGTGATGAGGTCACATAACAATATTTATTATCTATATTTGAAGAAACATGCAAAACAATCCAAACTCCTCCGCACATCAATTACTTTAGCTCTAACATTGTTTCTATTTAACATAAATAAATCAATATCTATAAAGATTTCATTATAGATCTTTGCAAGACGCCAGAGGGGAGCACGTTTACCCCCGTTTGTCCGGTCTGATGCCTGATCAAACAATCGGTAATCGCGCACCCCGCGACGGTGGATTGATCTAGGAACCACAAGTTTAATGTTATTATTAACTCGTTGAGTACCGTCATTATAGACACAATTAAAGAACAATAGGTTGCGGTCACCGGTGTCCTCGCGGTGTTTGACAGTTTAAGGTCCATACAATTAAGCTGGTTATGGTAAAGGTCGTGAAGTGTCATTATTTGCCGTTATGCAGCACCAACTATGTCCATTTACCCTGAACTGAATAATATCTTAGATGGATTTTAGTAACTTAATAGACTAGAGATATCACATTAACAGCCTATAAATCCCCACTGCTGACCAAAGGCCTCTTCTCACACGGAGGTTTGCATAGAGCATTAATCACCACGCTTGCTCAATGCTGGTTTGCGATTTCAAACTGATAATTAGAAATTATAAGCCCAGGTTTCCTCGCGATGTTTTTCTTCACCGTTGCTCAGTGGTGTCTGAATAATCTTAGAAAGTACATATAAGTAACTCGGGAAACGTCACATTGTTACCTGCCGTTGGTAGGTTTCGAGCCCGCACTCTCATGCATGAGAAGCTGGCGTCTTAAACCTCCGGGCCACCACAGCATTATCCTTACTAGTCCTTACTAATATTATAAATCGGAAAGTGAGTTTGTTTGTTTGTTTGTTCCACCTTCACGCCGTAACTACTAAACCGATTGCTTTGAATTTTTGCAGACGTAAAGTTAGAAGTCCGGATTAAATAATAGGGTACTTTTTATACCGGAAAAATTTGATATTCCCGAGGAAAAACGAAATCATTGGTATAGATGGCGCTGTGTGTATATGTCACATAGGCTACTTTATATCCTTTTGTGACGCGAGCGATGCCGCGGGTAAAAGCAAGTAATAAATAATGAGTTCTATTCTACCAATCAAGCCCTTTCATTTGATATTCATAATGGTACCTCCAGTTGCAGAAAAATCTAATACTATTTTTAAATGCGATACTTTAAATTTTGTTTTTTGCTGTGCCCGACAGGGTCTACAATTGTGTCCTAGCTTTAAGCCAATGTAATATCTTAAGAAACATAATAACATAACATCACGCCTTTTTATCCCCGAAGGGGTAGGCAGAGGTGCACATTTCGGCACTTAATGCCACTGTACAATGTAATACCCACTTTTCACTGTTTATGTTATGAGTCCCATGTAATAGGGGGTGAGCCTATTGCCATATACCGGGCACAATTCCAAACTCCGTGCTACTAAGAAACAGTATAGAATGCAAATAAACGTATGAATATAATATAATGAATATAGTTGGTGGGTTTGTGTAATTGTATGCATGTTTGTTACCCGGGTCGAGCAAAGTATTATTGGGTTTTTAAAAATACTCAGTAGTAGCACGGAGTCTGGAATTGTGCCCGGTATATGGCAATAGGCTCACCCCCTATTACATGGGACTCATAACATAAACAGTGAAAAGTGGGTGTTACATTGTACAGTGGCATTAAGTGCCGTAACGTACACCTTTGCCTATCCCGTCGGGGATAAAAGGCGTGATGTTATGTATATATTTTTGTTATTTAATCGCGTCAAAACGGCTGAAGGGATCGGGATGAGATTTGGAACACTTTTACTACTTTTTATGCCACGGCAATGCGGGCGAAGCCGCTGGTAGAAGCTAGTTTATAATATTAGTAAGATTGAGATTAAGTAGGTAAGATAAATAAAACTGCGTATAACTCAAGTCCACGAAGACTTGTTACCACCGGCGCCGGCGCTACTTAAATATTTGTATCTCTATAAATGACATTGATACGGCAACGAACTCGCGAACTGTCCTACTTCAGCTCATTATGCAAGCCGACCAGCCGACTAGCCGACCAGTTGGCTCACACAATCACTGTAATCTAACTACCACACTCATAGATATTGCATTTCTAACTATAAGTTTGAAATCACCAACCCACCTTGAGCAAGCGTGGTGATTAATGCTCAAACGTTCTCCGTGTGAGAAGACACTTTGCTCAGCAGTGGGTATTTATAGGCTGTTTATGATGACTTGATTGATTGTCTGTATTGGATAGTCTAAATAAAAAACTAACGCCCAATTCAAAAAAAAAATAGCTAAAACCTTACCTTCTTCAATGAATTGACGAAAACAATAAAAATACTGCGCATCACTCGATGACTACAATAATAATAATAATAATAATTTATAAACACGCATTATTTTTATAAAATCACAAAAAAAAAACGAAAACTAAATGAAATTTATGACCTATTATTTTTCGAGTAGGACAATTTTTCTACAAAACAATGAACGAACTGGTCCGCTCCCTGACTCGTCACTGACTATTTCGGTAACAATTTTAAGATAAAGTTGACCTCTTCTGTATTATCTTTCGGGTTATCAGAAGAATAAGTGTAAATAAGTGAATATAAATAATAGGTACCTACGTATATGTATGTACAGTGGCGCCTCGCTTATCTATTGAAGAGTCGAAATAAAATGTTTCAAAATATGACTTCAATCCATGAAAGTAGGCAGCTCGTCTTACTCTAACTAATATTATATTGTCTAGGTATGTTTGTCAGTGAATCACGTCAAAACTAAGTGTACTCGTAATACTTCGGCACTGCTGGGCCGGCTCGACCGGAGTGATACCACGGTCGAGTAGAAAACCGACGTGAAGCAACGCTTGCGTTGTGTTTCGTCGTGTGAGTTAGGTTACCGGATGCCCAATTACCTCCCTCCCTAGTCTCCCGAATCCCCTAATCGTCCACAATACCCAAATTCGCAATTCCCAAAAGGCCGGTGACGCATTTGTAACGCCTTGGTGTTTCGGGTGTCCATGGGCGGCGTCGATTGCTTACCATCAGGTGATCCAACTGCACGTTTACCGGCTTATGCTATAAAAAAAAATACTTTTCTGAAACCGCTTTGAAATCGGTTCAGATAATCGCGAGGTAATCGCGCAAAAACACCATACGTACAGGATCGAACTGTGAACTACATTTTTTTGAAGTCGGTTAAAAAGAGGCAGCCTATTGCGCAGATGACATACATACATAGTAGTTAGGTGTGTGTACCTTTGACACAATAGTTAGTTTAGGGTCAGACCGACCCGAGGTCAACTGCAGGCGAATGACCCACATTGCCAATTGAGTCCTATTGTGCCCTGACTCGTGACGTCACTGCGATCAGCTGACTAAAGGTATAAAGCTACAGACATATCGAGCTGGTCTAATTCCTACTTTAATCGTGAAAAAATTAAGTTAAATATCTATTGTCGTACTAGCTTCTTCCCGCGACTTCGTACGCGCAATCTAGTTTGCTCCCGTTCCCGTAGGATTTTTAGGATTTTTTTTTCTATCATAAGAACCTTCTCCTGACAATAATAAACATAACAAAAAATAAATCAACCAAATCGATCAAGTTATGGCGTGACAACGGGAAACGGGTTTCATTTTTATATATTAAAAAATAGTGTTAATCGGTAGGTAGTCTAAATTCTACCTTAAAGTTCATAATCAAAGTTGCAAATGCCGTGCATGGGGTCTGGGGTTCGATTCCCGAATCGGGCAAAGTATTACTGGGTTTTTGAAACAAATTCTCAGTAGTAGCAGGCTCACGCCCCTATTACATGGGACTCATAACATAAATAGTGAAAAGTGAGTGTTACATTGTACAGTGGCATTAAGTGCCGTAATGTGCACCTCAGCCTACCCCGTTGGGAATAAAAGGCGTGATGTTATGTTATGTGTTATAAAAGAATTATTATAGTAGTAAGCAATCAGCGGTACCCATGGACACCCAACAACACCATAGGAGTAAACCTGGCAAGTACCAATGTGACATTTTCCGAGTTATATGTACTTTCTAAGATTATTCAGACACCACTGACAAACGGTGAAGGAAACCTGGGCTTATTATTTCTAATTATACTAGCAACCTGCCCCGGTTTCGCATGGGTACAATATGCGTGTATTATACATATAAACCTTCCTTAATAATCACTCTATCTATTAAAAAAACCGCATCAAAATCCGTTGCGTAGTTTTAAAGATCTAAGCATACATAGGGACAGACAGACGGCGGATAGCGACTTTGTTTTATACTATGTAGTAATGAAATTTGAAATCGCCAACCCGCATTGAGCAAGCGTGGTGATTAATGCTCAACCCTTCTCCGTGTGAGAAGAGGCCTTTGGAGACTGTTGATGATGATGGATCAGTATTTGTCTACCCACTATAGGAAGTCTCACTGTCATTATGACCTAAGGTCACCAGTTCAAATCCCGGGTCAGATAAATCAATTTTCTTGTCTGATAGGAAAATTGCTACTCAAATAGTTGTTACTTGTAGCTATTCAGTGCGAAGTGTTGGGTTCAATTCCCGGGTCAGACAGAGGGTAATTATTGATGTTAGAGATATATAGGTCATTAAGGTTATCGTTTTAAGGTGAATGACATTGTCTTGGTGTTCATAACTCGGGAACTCACCAGTAAAGTAAGACCTATGATATAAAAGAGTTTAGTACAACAGACAGGTCTAGTTATAGTGGTGTAATTTTAATATCTAAGAATTATTTTTAGTTGCTGTGCGTATTTTACCATGTTTTAAAAATCAATAACTGCCTCGTTGGCAGAGTGGTCGTAAGTGCGACTGCCGGGTTAGGGGTCTCTGGTTCGATACCCGGGTCGGGCAAAGTATTACTGGGTTTTTAAATACTCTCAGTAGTAGCACGGAGTCTGGAATTGGGCCCGGTATATGGCAATAGGCTCACCCCCTATTACATGGGACTCATAACATAAATAGTGAAAAGTGGGTGTTACATTGTACAGTGGTATAAGGCACCTCTGCCTACCCCTTCGGTGATAAAAGGCGTGATGTTATGTTAAAATTCAACTTTAAACAATATGCAATTAAATGCACAGAGGGCTTTAAGCAAAGTTAACGACATCTAATGTTAAGATAAGAAAACAAAATTGTCAGCAAAGTCAAAGTCTAAGTCAAAATTATTTATTTCAATTAGACCAGAAATGCATTTTTGAATGTCAACAAAAATATTTAAAGTGAATCTATTTGGTCAATCCAAAGTGTTTTTTTTAAGGTAGGAAAATTGTCGAATGACTGCTTCCGCCTGGGTGAGGCGGGAGGGAGTGTCAGACTCTTACTGACTAAAAACCACCCCGTTCCCTCTCCTGCACACCAAGGTTTTCCACATCCACATTCCAAAGTGTAGATTCCTATGGAGAAGAACGAGCAAGATACTCCATAGGTTACTCTTTTTCAATCAGGTTCACAATACGATTCTCTAGTTAAAGCAAAAAGGTTACATCACAATAAAAATCGATGTTGAGGTGACTCGGAGGTTTGTCCTTTTTTATATTTGATGGGCCACCGTTTGACCACTACCTCGCCTGGTGGTGCGCGATGATGCGGTCTACGATGGAGCACGTCGTCTTATAAGCAACCTATTCACTCGGGCCTTGAAGACTCCCAGGTTATATACCCTTCAGGAAATACAGACTCGGGCAAATAATTTCACTCTTTAGCAGTATGCACAAGGAAGCTTGAAGCGAGGCGCTTTGTGCGTGTGGGTGGAACATCTACCATGAATCGGTGACGCTTCACCGATTTTCTTGTGGTACGATGATGGAAAGGACTAGGGGGAACCAAGTTGTGCATTTTCCCCGCACACTCACCGAAATGTATCCGGTAGAAAACCGAAAGGCTGGCAACCTTACGCCTGTGTTCGAGGCTTTGAAGCCGAGCCTTCACAAGCGCATCATCGTTGATGAGCCTCTTGGCACGCCTCTCAATGTGCTCTAACGCGTCCAGCTGATATTTAGCCGAGCCGTCCCAAACATAAGAGCAGTACTCCATACAGGACCGAAACTGTGCTTGGTACAGGCTCAGCACTGTGCCTGGTACAGGTTTAAGACGCCCGCTTCTCATGCATGAGGGTGCGAGTTCGAAACCTACCAACGGCAAGTACCAATGTGAATTTTCCGAGTTATATGCACTTAGACACCACTGACAAAGTTAAACGGCGAAGGAGTCGCGGAGAACCTAACGGGTAACCGGGGCTCCGGCTCGACGTGCAGGAGAAGGAACGGGGTGGTTTTTAGTCAGTAAGAGTCTGTCACTCCCTCCCGCCACACCCAGGCGGAAGCAGTCATTCGATGACTTTTCCCCCCTTAAAAAAACGGCGAAGGAAAACATCGCAAGGAAACCTGGGTTTATAATTTCTGATTATAAGTTTGAAATCGCCAACCCGCATTGAGCAAGAGTGGTGATTAATATTCAAATTTTCTCTATGTGAGAAGAGGTCTTTGGTGAGCAGTAACCATTAATAGGTTGATGTCATTGTGATGAATGAAATTAATAAATCGATCTTTAATAATATGATTGGCCGGATTGGCAGCCATTATACTAATTGTTTTATTTTATTAAAACATTTCAATAAAATCAGTTATCGATAGATTCTCCACTGACCTCAGTGACCCGAATATTATCAAGCATCAATAAAGACAATCCTAACTAATATTATAAATCGGAAAGTGAGTTTGTTTGTTTGTTTCGCTTTCACGCCATAACTACTAAACCGGTTGCTTTGAATTTTTGCAGACGTAAAGTTAGAAGTCCGGATTAAATAATAGGGTACTTTTTATCCCCGAAAAATTTGATATTCTCGAGGGAAAACGAAGTTATTGGTATAGATGGCGCTATGTGTATTGGTATATGTCACATAGGCTACTTTTTATCCTTTTGTGACGCGAGCGAAGCCGCGGGTAATAGCTAGTAATAAATATAACAGGTTTATAATATAACAGTTATATATATACACATATATAAACTCAATGTGTGCCAACAGTATAATATGATGACCGCGATTCCAATACTGACAGGATACGGACAAAACCTGAATTCAAAATCTTGAACTCATTTTGTAAGATTTTTGTTTTGCTTTCTAAAATCTACAATTGGAAGCAAAAAAACGGAATTTTATATACATATTTCGCTAGCGACCCGTCCTGGCTTTGCACGGGTGCAATATGCATGCATTATACATAATAAACATAATATAACATAACGTAGGCAGAGTATGTAGGCAGAGGTGCACATTATGCCACTGTACAATGTAACACCCACTTTTTACTATTTATGTTATGAGTCCCAAGTAATAGGGAGTGAGTCTATTGCCATATACCGGGCACAATTCCAGACTCCGTGCTACTACTGATAATTTTTTTAAAACCCATTAATACTTTGCCCTACCCGGCAGTCGCACTTGTGACCACTCGGTCAACGAAACAGTCGTTTCAACGAGCAGTACATAATAA